AGAGAGAGAGAGAGAGAGAGAGAGAGAGAGAGAGAGAGAGAGAGAGAGAGACAAACACACACAAAACACACACATACACACACAAACAATAAACACACAAAAAAACACACTCATACCTGCACCCTGGACTCGGTGAGACCAATCCGGAGAGCGAGCTCTTCACGCATGAAGATGTCCGGGTAGTGTGTCTTGGTGAAGCTTCTCTCTAGCTCGTTCAGTTGCCCCGGTGTGAATCGAGTGCGGTGCCTCTTCTGCTTGATCAGCTTGTCCGCTCCCTCGTTAGAAGTGACCGGACTGCTGGAAGACAGGGAGCCTGGCACCAGTTTGGTCAGCTCCTCTGGGGCCTTCTTCAAACCTGGAACAGACCAAAGAGGTTATATTTAGTACTTGAGTTCATGGCAGTGATGTTCGTGGCAGCGATGCTATATTTAGTACTGGAGTTCGTGGCAATGATGTTAAATTTAGGGTAGTGTCTACGTTCTCTAACGTTAGAGAATGTATACAAGTTGTCTACGTTCTCTAATGTTAGTAGAGAACCTAAAAATAGCTCGCTCGCTCTATCTAACATGCAAACGAGTCGACATTGCTGCTTCCACAGTGCTTGCACTTTATTTTGGCAAGCTATTAAGTTTACTTTCGTGAAATTAAAATGCTTGCGAAAGTAAAGCTGTCTACAGTACCGCATCTTGCCTTTAAAGCGACGTTAAACCCCTAGCAAGCAACCAACACCTTCTATCATTCCATCGCGATGACACCCCCCCCCCCTTTTCATAATAATATGTTGAAGGCCTACACTTTTCACCCAAGGAAGGTGCACTCTGATGCCCCCCGCCCTAAAACTTTGAATAAGTCAATGAAGATCAGGCCGTCTGCAATAAGTATTTAGAAGATAGCTTGCAGTTTACATGCGATTTCGTATTCCCACCTCAACGCCAAGGTATAGACCTATGTGATACAGCGTGAGATACCATAAATGATACCAAATTCACAGGTGTGGAAAAACATTGCGATTTGGTGTGTGATGTGACATCACTGTCATGAAATAAAATCACGTGGGTCAAGGTCAGGTCAGTCATATCAACGCTATGTATACGATATGCCTAGATCTAGTGCATGAAATAATCCAATTCAATGAGTGGAACTAACGACACATCATCATCATCCAGTGCCAGATCTGCGACAGACATCGGCGACCATGGTTCTCCATTCATTCCTTTGCTCAGATGCTCTATGAAAAAAAGCTACGTTTCCCTGATCTTTTCCTGTTACCCATTTGTTTAGGTTCCCTAAGTATGTTGTTCTGGGCCTACCCCTGCCTCGCTTGCCCTCAATTTTGCCAGTGAGAGCTAGATGTTCAAGACCCTTATGTCTATTCAGGTGTCCCAAAAACTGCATTTGTTGTTTCCTGATTGTTTTTAACATTGAGCGTCCCACGTGGGCTTCATCAAGCACTACCTCATTTGATTTCTTTTCCTTCCACGATACTCTTAGCAGTCTCCTAAGAAACCACATTTCTGTTGCTTCTATTTTATTTTCACTGTCTTTAATGATTGTCCAGCATTCACAGCCATATATAAGGGTTGACCAAACATAGCATTTCAGGACTTTCATTTTGGTGTTCATTGAGATGTTTCTATTTTTCAGGATTGGGTTCATTTTATTGAAACTAGCCTTAGCCATTGTAGTTCCCCTTTTTGAAAAACAAATAAAGAAAGATTGAAAAGTAGCCTAGCCTTATCCGGAAGTTCAAATGATGTCACACCGACGTAAACGAACGGGGACTGCGTCTACCCACCCTGGGACGCTAAATCTCAAAGGTAAAACATGCACAGTTCAACAGACGAGTGAGTACTTTTAGAGAAACTTGGAGGCGTCTCGGCGGTCTTAGAATGGAATCTACAGGCTTGCACTGAAATATTATGGGGGCAGGTTTGTGGTTAATATACTCGATCTCGTGGGGAGCAGGGCTGGACTCAGATTGTTCATGTGAAGGGGGGAATGTGGATGGTTGGCGAGTGCTCTGGTGTGGTTTGCTCCTTTTTTCCTATCAAACATCTATCATCTTTATCTCCCCTTCTTTTTTATGTTTGTTACTTTCTTGTCACACCTAATCTTCTGGCGCTCATGTGACCGTATGCAGTTGCGAGCGCCGTAAAACATCTACTAAAACAACGAAGAGGAGAACGTCGGCCATGTCGATGAGGGTAAGAAGGCCCCCAAGTCTGACTTGTATGACGTCACTGCTGCCAGCTGTAGTATTGTAGGTCTCGGTGGCCTAGTGGTTAGGCTACCGGACTCGTAATCGTGAGGTTGCGGGTTCGGGGGTTCGAGTCACGGGCCTGACGTTGTGTCCTTGGGAAAGGCACTTTACACGAATTTTCCTCTCTTCACCCAAGTGGAAATGGGTACCCGGCCATAGACAGCGAAAGATCTTGTCAGTATGTTAGTGTTTTATCGCCTATAAATGGCTGCTTGCACTGTATGCTTCCCAGGAAGTTGAGATTGTTTCGGATTGCTCTCAGGTCTGCTGGGGTAATAGTATAGACTGTTAGGCGCATAGAGCTTGCTGTTGAGCGGGGATTTGCGCTATACAAATGCTATCTATTATTATTATATTATAAAACTTCTTTGAACAGACAGATTATAATTACCGTCACTATTACCAATACAATACAATGGTGTTTACTTTACAATACAATACAATACAATACTTTAGAGTGTGGCGTCGATGGGCTAGTAGCTAGGCTACTAGACTCGAAATTGTGAGATTGCGGTTCGGGGGCCTCAGCTCGGTTCGACGCTGTGTCCTTGGGAAAGGCACTTCTCTCCAATTTCTTATTTGGTTCAATCCTTTTGAAGATGGACGTTGAACTCGTAGGTCACGCCTCTTAAATAACCTAATAGTGTTTATAGGGGCATTGAACCTATGTCATTTTACAATTTTTTCTGCAATACTTTGGTCACTTCAGAGATCAAATCCTTTAATTCATTCAAATGTCACCTAACGTCATTTCTTTCTTTTTTTTTAATTATTGAGATAAATATTTAGAGAGGTTTTCTTTTTCCTTTTCTCTCTTTCTTTTCATTTTTTTCTTGGTTCAGAACACATGCACTGATTATATTATCATTGTATTGTAAAGCTATCTTCTAATACTAATACTAATA